ATTTGAATCACGCGGTCAAGAACAATCCCGTGGTCACCACACATATCTCTACTCTATGGCGTATCTCTCCTCTATGGTGGTCACTTGATGGCTCCAATTGGAAAGGTGGGAAAGAGTAGGAGAGCAAAGGTGCGGCTTATTTGGTTAACGTCACCGCCGCCGCCAGCGCTATCATTGGGGGAGGGGGGGGGGAGGTTAGATGTCGAAGGGTCGAAGGGAGAGGGAATGCATATTGCAATGTTCTTGTAGAATGCATCACTCGCTTCTAGGGAAAGTTGAAGTTAATGAACTGTAAAACGCTACATTGCCAGCACTGGAAAAGCATATTGTGTATGTTCTCGTTACTAAGTTACTTAGTCAGCGCATGCGAACACTGGCATTGCGTGTTGTAGAAGCTGCAGCAGGGCCTATCAACTCTCCGTTAAATTCATCGGGATCCAACTTCGTGTTAATCAATCATCATATTGTTAGGTTTTAAGAAGTGTGATTCTATTTATTGTAATGAAGAGTGAAAGTGAAGTGAAATAATGTAATAAATAAAAATGATGTGATAAAAATGTGATGTGTAGGAGATACGTACAATCTCCGCACGTTTTCTTGAGATCTGAAATCTCTTCACCTTTTAAACATAAATTGTTGAAAGATGAATAATAGTAACAACAAAACAATTCTTGTTCTTGAGAATAGACCTGTTTGCTTACCAGATATAGAAAACTTATTTGGATCAATCTTCTTCTTCTTTCGAGTCTACGACAGCTAAATTCTGTTTTCCAGGTAAGTAGAGAGAGCCAAGGCTCTCTGGTTTCCTAAGGCCAGGTCATCTCTGGATACACCATTAGGGCAGTCCGGGCAGGAAAGTAGATGTTCCATCGTCTCTTCTGCACCGCAGGAGCACATCACCGAGTCATTCTGGGACAAGAATCCCCAGTTTTGCAAGTTGTATTTACATCTCCCAACACCCGTAAGCAGTCTGTTTAGGGATCTCCATATGGTCCACGGTTGTTCGGAACCCCGAGGCAGGGACTCTGAGGGTTTTGTGAGGTGGCCTGCTAGGCGGCATTAGTGCATACACAAGCCTTTCCTGCTCGGCTGCTTTCTGGAGAGGGGCACTGGTCTGAAGGAAACTTTTGCTGGAACGGAGCCTTCGGTGGGCGGGGGATTGACCATGCAGAGGGTGGCGTTTGTCGTTCTTTCTGCTCTGCAGGAAATCTCCCGGCGGATATTTGGAGGGGCGATGGCCAAAGAACAGAGAGTTGTGGAATGGGTGTGGGCTTGAGACAGCCGGTCACATAGCGGCAGGATTGATACAAGGCGGTGTCAACCTTCTTGGCGTGAACGAATTTATTTCGATCGATAAAAACCCTGCAGATTTAAGTTGCTAGTATTTCTTACAAAATAGTAACCATTACCCCGGCTTTACTCCCCCCACAGCTAGCAAAAGGAGAGCTCAACTAATCGTGCGCATAGTGAAGCATCATTGACGTCCAGGAGCAAATCAAGGGGCAAGGATCTCATCATTCGCCCAACGGATCTGAGAAAGTGTACGAACAACTTCATCCAGATGCTGGTTGGAGCATAATCCTCTAGATTCGCAGGAGTGCAGCGGCGGACCCTCTGCTATTCCACCCATCTCTTCCTCTATTCCTCCCCCCACTCTACTACTCCACTTCACCGTATTTCCTCCTTCATACCAGATATCGTACCAATTTGTTTTAAGATCAGTTTTGGAATGCAGGAAAGGTATTTGATATTCCATGGTAGGGTGTCATAAGTAAATTAAAGTTTTTTAAAGAAAGACACTATTTTATTTTCAGTAGATTGACGCAATAAAAATAATACAGAAATTCAATAATATAAAATGAGATGAGGGCATATTATATTGTGCAGTATTTTAAGTAGGGTATTTTTAGTAAAGAAGAATTGTTTGTTATTGTTTCTAGTATAGTAAAGGAACAATATTACAAAATAATTTGTATAAATACATTTTGCAAGGATTTATTATACTAATTGGTAGAGCTTCCATACTTTCTGGCGTTATTTCTTACTACATAAACTTGCAACCTTCTTCACTTTCAATTAAGCTGTGTGGACTAACATTAAATTCAAAACGAAAGAAAAAACTAGGAGAACCGAAGCAAATCTAACCTATATTAGGGAAGGTAAATTTATGAACTTGAAAAATCATGCGAATAACTAAATTTCACAATAAACATTGTTTTCCTAGAACAACTATTCAATAAATCTCATAATTATTTAAATGTTCCATTCACGTTTACAAGCGACTATTGTTAATCTGTAGATGTAATAAATAGTCCAGAATATAACTAGCGTCTGGCAAGAACATACTATACTACGAATTACAATACTACGAATAATATTTCTGTCTACTTGACAGCTACGGCTGACAGGGGTGAGGGGGTTCCGTTATCCAATCAGGGGATTCAAATTATGTCACTGTCAAGTTGCCGATGCCCATTAGGAAAAAATAACTGAAATGTTATAGCGCAAAGCACCTAAGTTTAAGAGCGCCTTGACTTCTGTGGCTAGGCATCGTTTGTGCGATTCTGTCCCCGTCATGTGAAATTTGTTCCGATAAAACGATTTTGCGTGCTTCACAAGGGCTAGTCCAGCCCCTGTGAAGCGTCCTATACCTTACTGTTATCCTTATTCCTTCCCAATTCTGGCCGATAGGTAGATGACGCAGGGCGTGTGCGAGACGCGAGCACGAAGGCGCTACCTGTCGGCGATTCCCCGACTTGACTATGACTCACGGGACTGGACAATACAGCGGCCCCTAGAGGGCGCTTACAGGGGAGGATGCGCTCAACGCTCCTTGGAGACACGTTTCGATACTGGTACCCCAAAAAAAAAAAAAAAAAAAAAAAAAAAAAAAAAAAAAAAAAAAAAAAAAAAAAAAAAAAAAGAAGAAGAAGACGTTCGGACACCTTAAATGACTCGCGTGCGCATCGAGACGCATCTACGCAGCTGACCTCTTCAGCTTTGGGTGACGCGCGTCAACTCAACACTCGTGTGGAACAGGCTCAGCTCATAGCTCAGCCAGGACAGCGTTGTTAAAGCAACAATGTGCAATTCGTTTGTAATATACGTATGCATGCAAAGAAACGAGAAGAAATTCTAACAGACGACTCGCGGCGCGGAATTCTCGCATTCCAATTTGATTTCCTGAGAGATGGCAAATGGAGCGAAGAAATTAGAACGTGGAAAATTACGCTAAAGTAGCCATATGTTTTAAAATAATGTCCTTGACCTTTTTTAAAAAACTGATTTTTACATTCTCGCTATGATTTTTACTTACGCATTAGTTGTGAAATGCTGCGCGAAAAACGGCGATTTTTCTACAGAAAAACTTATTAAAGGGCTTTGGTAACGAAAAAGTGAATAAATGGTGTAGCCAGTATCCATGTTTAATGGGCCTTTGATACCGAAAAATGCGGAATGACAGCAAAACGTCTGAATGTCTGTCCGTCTATCTGTCCCTCTCTCCGTCCGTCTCTGCGTCCGTCCGTCTCTCCGTCCGCTCGTCTCTCTGTCCGCCTGTCTCTCCGTCCGTCTGTGTCTCCGTCCGTCCGTCCGTCTCTCCGTCCATCCGTCCGTCTGTCCGTCTCTCCGTCCGTCTCTCCGTCCGTCCGTCTGCCTCTGTCCGTCCGTATGTCCGTCAGTCTATCCATCCGCGTGTCCGTCCGCCTGTCCGTCCGTCTGTCTGTGAAAAACGCTAGCGACTAAACCGTTTTTAAATCTTTTTTTTTTTCAAAATCGATATTCCTCAATCACTCAGGCTTGTATCACGGTCCCTTGAATTTGAAACAGATATTTTAATTTTGGGCGGTTCTTTACTGAAGCTCCTGGGACATTTTCAAAATTGTAGACCTAGAACACATAAGCAGGGCCTGTAAGGCCCTGTGAAATATTATTTGGAAATTACTTACAACGTTTTAATCCTAGCTTCTTTGCTTCTTAGGTATTCCTGGCATTATCTTTCTTCTACAATTAGATTGCATAATCGTCAGGATTGGATTATTTATTTCCGAGTAATAGTGAAATTTTCATCTTTACTACAAGAACGCATAAGCAGGGTCTTCGGGGCCCTATGTGGTGCTGTTTATAATCCTTTGTCAACTGAGCTGTAAAATTCGAGGAACAAAGCGTACTCCTTATCTTTGTTTCCACATTATATTTTCCTAGATCTGAGGCTGATAGCCACTGATTGTGACCGCTACACTTTTACAATTTACAGGTAACTGAGCTTTGTGCGAGAGCAATAGTCATAGAAGTGCGGTAGTGCGTGTCAATTTGATTGGAACCATGGCTTCTAAACATTTTGAAGAGATTGTGGCTTGAGGAGAAAGATGTACTCAGCTTTCTGTCTCCGTCTCCGTCTCCGTCTCCGTCTCCGTCTCCGTCTCCGTCTCCGTCTCCGTCTCCGTCTCTGTCTCTGTCTCTGTCTCTGTCTCTGTCTCCGTCTCCGTCTCTCCCTCCCCACCTTCATTCCTAGTCATTGCATAAAGGTGGTGGCGGTGGTGGTGTGTGTAGATAATGATAAAAGCACTGTTCCCGAGGAGACTAATTGAAAGAGATCCCTATCACGTCCATGTCCTCAACTGAGCACCTAGCTAGTGTGTGCGCGGACGTGGACGGATACTCTACAAGGTACCTTGTGTTGATAATATGCATGTAAAAAGTGTATGATGAGTGATCAAGGGAGAATTCCTGTTCGAAAAGACTAAAAGATTCTTACTTCGAAATTTTACATGAAGCGCCTGTTTGGATTACCGCTTTCGCCATTTTAGCCACGTCACCAATGACCGTTTTACAAATATAGGTGCGATTAGTAATTCCATGGACACTCCGTGTGGTCTGTTCCACAAACGTCATTTAACACGTGACTAAATGAGGCGGCTTCAAAAGAACGTACGAAATGTGAATTTTGATAAATAAAATTATTGATAAATATTAATGTCTCTTAATAACAATAATTATCCCTAGAAAATATATTTAAAACAATGACCTAAAATGTGCACGTCATAGCTGCAATTACAGCGAACTGCCCGAATTCGTCCCTACTTCCGTGAAGATTGCGTCATCACCGTTGCGTCATCAGCGATGCGGCTGCTCATTGGCTGCACGCGACGTTCTTTCCTCATCGCACCACGCGACAGAACTTCGCAGTTCGAACAGCATTAGGCCAGCAGACTGGTAGTCCCGTGGCTCTTGTCAGGTAGTTATTAGTACTTTGGTTGGAACAAGAACAGGTGGATAATAATTAATTAATTGCGGGCTATTCTCAATTGTGCAGCTTGTAATTCAATTGATTCATTGAAATTTATTGTATAGAATTACAATTAAGCGTATTTTACAGTTGATTCTGCTGTATCTTCAATTTTTACCGTCGCAAATTGTTTTGTTCGTTTTCCCAACGATGAATGAAGAGCAATGGAAACAATTCAATGTGGAAGCTCAGAGATTTTGGATTACCAACAAAGGTATAAATTTCGTTCCTTTTCCTGGCCAATGTGAAAAACCCAAACACTTTATTCAAATTTCATTTCCGTCTTTCCAGAGTACCACAAGCATATAACAGAACGCGAAAATATGGTGTCCAAGCTAGCGGAATTAAAAAGGGAAAAACGCGTAAGTAATAATTGGTTATTTCAGAGGACATGACAATGACATGCTTTCTCATCGTATTATTAATTTATAACAGGAAATTGAGGCGTTGGGAATGAACGCCATAATACAAAGACAAACTCCCGAAGGAATAACACACATTACATCAGCCAGGGCAGCAAAACACGATATTTCCAGGAAAATGAAACGTCTTAGGCGAGACATGTAAGTTAGTTCATCTAAAATTATAAAATAAAGAAAATAATAGAAATAGTCAAATTCACAACTTCAAGAATATTTACAATGTCTCCCATGTGATTTTTTATTTTAACTGTTTTGAACTAATCAGTTGTTTTTCTCATCCACATCTAGAAAAAGGACTGATATTCTGATATCTATCCTGATGAAGAAACTTCAAACACCTCATGCTTGTGTTGTACAAGCCTTTCTGTGGCAACAATTTAATGCAACACAACAATTGTATAATCCATGGTTCAGTTATTAAAAGTGGAGTCTTCTTTTCTCCATTATTAATTAAAAATCCTCCATTGTAAATAACGATAGGATCAGAAATCATTGTAATCAGGTACTTGGATAATACCGAATTTTCATCATTTTCATTTCATTTATTGGTAATTTCTTAACCAAGATGAAAAGAAATGAAGTGTTTTAAAATGATCATGTGCTTATTGATACTAAATAAACGGGAAAATACTTAAAAACCATTATTTTTAATGAATGTTCATTTAATTGAAGTTCCTTCCTTAATACACATGGTGAGTATTTATTTTGCTAATGTTTTTATTAAGTCTACATATTTCATAGAATTAATTCAGTTTATATTAATTCAAGGTTTATTTGCAACGTAAAAGTAGATTTTATAAATATCAGTGTACGAAATTTATTTCGGCTAAGTAACGTTTTCCTGATGAAAAATCTCGGGCCTTGCACAAAGTAACATTGATCCACTACTATATAATGCAGTTTCTGTAGAAGTATGTCAATTCACTTTCCATAAATATACTTCATAATAACTTTCCTCGTTACGTCCAAATATTCTGTTTTTAATAACAAACTTTTGTGTTGTATTCAAATTTTGATATACTATTTACTCTTGTTTGTGGATTAAAAAATTCCCTGGAATGTTTCAAAATTGTAAAAAAGATGCAACAAGTTCATAAAACCTTTTTAAAATTTTAAAACCTTTCTTAAATACATCGGATGTTCAACCAACAATGGGTCATCGCCATAAATTCTAAGCGGTTCACAATATCGAAGTACAGTTTTCACTCAACAATGCAGAATTATAGGACAAGTATAATATGCCCTAGAGATATTGTTTGACAAATCTTTAGTTTATTTAGAGAAATTTAATCATCTTTGATTTTGTAATGCAACGATGTATTTTGCTTTCATTTGCAATAGATTGTGAAAAAGGAATTCAATGTCAATTCAATATGTTAATAATTTGATAGTAATTTGACTACAAAATTACTCTCCAACATATTATTTTAAATTAAAACAAAATTTAACATAATAGCCTTACTAATATTAGAAAGTTTACGTAGTTAGAGTTTTTAAAGAGAAAAAACGAAAGTTACGAAGTAAGGAAGTTCAATATTATATAACATTCATAAACGTTTGGTTGATGCAATTTATGAGATTTATTTGACGATAAAAATGTCGTAGTAAATAATTGGCATTTTTTAATCTTAATGAAGGGATGAAATAAATAATATTTAAATGAGTGAAATAGAGGCCAGAAATACGTGAATTATATTTTTTTTTAAATGTGAGACTTACTTTACGAGATAATTTGTGATTGCTATCTCATTGGAGACTTTTCGTAACGATTTTCGCCTTCCGCTAAAAGTGTAAAAGCAAAATAGCTTTTTTGTGTACCGCAAGAATGGGAAATATACCTAGCAATTTGTTGGCATGAATACTTTTGCAAAACAGTCTAAGGCCTTTTGCAATTTTAAAGCTATTGCAAAGTAAATGCGTGCTATTGCAAAGTATCTTGGCTTAAAGAACCCGGAAACTGTTAAAGGATATTGCTTTCTCCGAACATAAACTTCATTTCTCGCCGATGCAGGTGCTGATACGAATATGTTGAAGAGACAAAGATTCGCAGTAAATTTGTGTTGTAGAAGGATATATGGAAACATCAGTACCAGTGGCGGTTTGTGCCTAGAATGCACGGTTGCAAAAGATCTCGTAATAATTTCGAAATAACCATTTTCTTTTAATAACATTTAATTTCTGCAATATGGATGTACTTTAAATCATTTTGAAACCAAAGAGCACCAATCTGGCGATCTGCCCGGCGTCTGTTCGCCATCCACCACGCGTGTACTACCACGCTCTTGGCTCTATTACTGCGTTTGCTGCATTTACTCTTTGGCCCTGCGCATCAACACGCTTCAACTGCGGTCTTCGGCGGCGCAACCAAAGGCGGGGGCTTTGCGCCCAGCGCCGCGCGGCGTCCGAAGGGATGCTCTTGGATTTTCTGTCTTCGTCTGACTCGAGCTGTAAATGAGTTGTATGAATTGTAGGCGTTACTGAAAGTACACAAGCTGAGTCAAATCGTGGAGGTATTGAATTCATTATTTAAGTTTGGCGAAATTATTTTCATTCCTTTCGTCTGTCGATTACAAATGTGTATTTGAAGAGTGCAGTTTATTTTCTGTAAAGTTGGCTGTTTTGGAGGAAATCCCTCTTCCGTCCCTCTTCTTCTTCACAGGTTTCTTCATGAGTGTTCAATATTTATTTTTCTGGCATTAAACAACAATGAATACAGTGCGAAATGTACGAAAAACTTATTTCGGTTCACGCGCTATTCAGGAAAAACTAGAAATCAACTGACTCAGAGGGCCTATTCCAAGTCTTCAAAATGTTATAGAATTGGTCATTCAATTTTATTCAAAAACAGAAAAAAGAGAATTCAATGAAAAATTCGAAAATAATTTTTACAATAAATACAAGTGGTTACGTGGGTGTGATTCGAAGACAGCTTTCTTGTGCTTTCCTTGTATATTGTTTTAAGGGGAAGATACGTGGGCAAAGACAGGGTTTGAAGATTTAAAAAAACTTAATAGATAGAAAAAACATGAAGTGAACTCACGTTAAAAAGAGTTAGTAGTTGGTGTTATTAGTAACTACCAATATAGCGGAACGCATACAAGAGAAATATTTCAATTCACAATGAACAAGTGAAACAAAATAGATATGAATTAGAGATTAATTAGAGATTAATTAAATCGGTGAGTGGAAAAACCGTACAACTCCAAAATGACATTTATTTTTAAATTGAGATGGCCAAAATCACTTTTAAACGTAGCCCTTCCTTATGAAATGCGGAACACCACAACTAACACGACAGATCCTTCGGAAGTGCCAAACCAATCATAAGAAGACGTGATCGAATTTATCTACCAGAAGATTATGAGTATATAGTCGCGAATTAAAACTATTTACAGAAACAGTCATGAAATATACAGATACAACGAACTTCAAAAGCTGGTGGCCAAATTATTATAAAAAACTTGCAAATCAACAGTTTAAGTAAATAATGAACCCTTCTAAGTTTCGAACGATAATCAGTTAATTTATGAAAGTTCAACACCAGGTTTCTTTTCAGTTAGTCATTTTATCGGATGACTAGTTACAAACACTTTTAAATGACTCAAGCCTAACATCACTCCATTTTTTCCTAACAACACAGCCTGCAAGCAACCATTAACAATCAATGAGATTGAGATCAATGATAAAAAAGTTTTCAAGTATACAAGTGGCGAAATCTTGGAGTTTTACAATTATATTACAACTTGGATGACAATCAGTGAAGATGGAAGTAACCATAACAAAATCATACAGTTCTAAGCAGTTCTAAGCATTGTGTAAAAGGTCATTAATAAAGGCATTTTTATTAAAATAATTTTCTTCATTTTACTTTTAACAAATATTGAGTGGAAAACATTATAAATCGAACATCTATTTTCGGCTGTCCATCTTCTTAGGATGCACTTATTGAATATAGGTATTGTGGTGAGTTATCGTTGGCAGTTCCAATGAATTAATTATATGCGTCGTCATTGCCAACAATATTATTTATTAAAAAAGTCGCTTTCGATGGCTTAACCATCATCATCAGTTTTCTGCAGTATGGATGCCACAAAAACGACTACCTGAACTACCTTGGTAGTCGTTTTTGTGGCTTCCATACTGCAGAAAACTGACGATGATGGCTAAGCCATCGAAAGCTGCTTTTTTAATAAATAATATCGTTGGCAATGACGACGCATATAATTATTGCACTTATTCAAACTTACTCGACAAGATCCTGTAGAGGGAGTCACTCCTTACAACTTCTCTTTGCATTTTATTATTGTAAAATATACACGTTTAACCCAAAACATATTTTTGTGTTTTTCTTGAAACCATGATTTTGGAGTAGTACTTGTTTTCCACTCACCGATTCAAATGTATTCGTTTCTTCACTAGCTTTTGAATTAGATTTAAGATGCTACAATATACTAAAGAATCCACAAATTTAGGAATCTTTAGAGGATTAATTGATTTCAATGCAGATTTAGACGTTGCTTTGAAAAACATACCAAAAGTGCAACAGTATTTCTCAGGATGTGTAAAATTATTCAGAACGAGTTGCTACAAATTATGTTAGAAGATTACAAGGGAAAAATGTCTGAGGAAGCAAACATTTAAGCTGTTATTACCGACGAAACAAAGAGTTGTGTCGAGTAAATTTCCAATGCCAATTGTTTTCAGATGCTTCGTTAATCATAAACCAGTTGAAAGATTTTTGGTATTTTTTAACGTTATGATGCAGAAACATTGGCGTCTTGCTTTGTTGAAGTGTTAACACGGCACAAAATAAATGAATCTCGCGAAAAGCTTCTAGCTCAGACGGATGATAGTGTTTTTGTAATGTCCGCAATGTCGAAAGATGTTCAAACACTCGTTAAAAATAATTATCCTATTACTCAATATGCTCATTGCTATGCTCATCAGGTTAATTTAGTGATGAGAATTGCATCAATAAATAGAAATGTTCCAATTCTCTTTGCCATTGTTCAGGCCCTAGGCACATTTTATTCAAACTGCCCACATTAGATGATATAGTAAAGATGCATTTGCCTAAATCTGTTCCCACCAGGTGGATTTTTCAATTGAGAAGCATCACAACAATTTTTCACAATAGGCAAGCCTTGCATGAAATGCATGAAAAATAATTTTCAGTCAGATCACATGAAATTAACAATACTATCTCTCGCAATCTTCCGAAAAAAATATTGACAAGGAAAAAAATATATTTTTGGGCTTACATTTTCTCGGGAAGTTGAGCCGCTCATTCACTCACTACTATTATAGCTACTATTATAGTCGCTCATACACTATTTGGGCAACTTCAGAAAGTAGAAATTGATCCCTGTGTCGTTTCACAACGTCTTCTAAGCTCTAAACAAAATATGACAAACATGGAATGATAAGGAAATAATCTTTAAACCTCTATCACAATCATCTGCAAAGAAAAGGAAGACTAAAAACAGTGAGTGGGAGAGATAAGCAAAATAAGTACTATGTGATGTATTACTTTTCAAATTAAAGAAAGATACACTGGTCATTTTAATGCTTCTTCGTTCATGTCGGGAAAATTTTCAGTTTATGCCTCTAAAATTCCAGAAGAAACACAAACAATTGTTTG